TGGGCATTTATACTGAACGTTCATCATTGAACTTTTCTTGCCTTCTGCCTTTCATCTGCCTGCGAGTTTTATGAAAATTTTCGATTTCGCATGCGAAGTTGCCGCCAATCGATCATGGTTGACCAAAGTTTCGAACCGGCTCGAAATTCTATTCGGTCGCTGATGGTCTGGCTCGTTCAACGTTGTTTGTTTTTTGCTCATTCTATGACGATCGATAGTGGTCATTCTATCTAATCCCTACCTTAGGGACTTCAGACTCATAGACGCCTAGTGACTGCATGCGACAGATGTGAAATGAAGATTAACTGCAAGAAAAGGCAAACGTTGATCATCAGTGAAAACGATGTCGGCAACCTACAGTTTACCGCTAACAATAAGCTCTCACAATAACCGAGAGAGTTACATACCTGGGCTGCAATCTTAATAAGGACTAGGACCCCTCTCAGAAAATAAGAAGCCGAATTGAAAAAGCAAGAGGGGCATTCAATAAGCTGCGAAATGTGCTGTGTGTGTGTGCATCCGTACTAGAATCAGGGCATTGAGATGCTATGTGCTCTCGACGCTCCTGTATGGAGCAGAAGCATGGACACTTACCGATGCGTCATGCAAACGAATAGATGCATTTGAGATGTGGTACTATCGCCGTATGCTCAGGATCTCGTGGGTGCACCATGTGTCAAACGAAGCAGTCTTGCAACGAAATTGATGAAGAACTGGAGTATCTAGCAAACGCCAAACGCAGAAAACTTTGGGCATATAAAGCGAAACAAAAAATATCATCTACTTCAGCTCATCTTACAGGGAAAGATAGATGGTCGGAGATCAGTGGGTCGCAGACGTATATCGTGACTGAAAAATTTAAGAGCATGGACTGGAATGACATTAACAACTTTGTTCAGAACTTCGGTAAACAAAGTAATATGGACCAATGTGATAGTGAAAATCCACAGAGGATAGGCACTTTGAGAGAGAAGAATTCTACATAAAAACCAAGATTGCAGCCTCATACTAAGTTTCTAAATCTCCATGGACTAGCAAAAATCCACAAAGCCGACATGCCATTCCATCTAATCACCAGTTCAAAAGTTTCACCAACGTATAACCTATCTAAACTGGTACACACTAAACAATACCAATTTTCCGCACAGAAACACGGACTGCCCATGGAATCACCACTATCGCCCGTCGTGTCTAACACATACGAACTGCTCCGAAGACGAAGCAATCGGAACTGCATATCTGAAACCTATCTACATCATGGCCACTTGAAAACATCAAAAGCGATCTGTTATAAGCTGGCTACTCGGAAACTCTTCTAAGCAAAATTATCCAGAAAAGAACATGAAAAAAAGGAAGCCAAGGACAAGAGGGGCCAACACTAAAAATCCAGGTACTCTCAGAAAAAAGATCAAAGAATTGGACGAAAATAAATACAATGCTAAAACCTTAGAGCAGGTGGTGAAGCGTTGTCCTCCTATGGACATATGGAGTAGAAACACGCCATTAATTCTGCTATGAAACTAAAGTGAAGCCAGTTTTTGGCAGGTGTTTATATTTTTAGATGGTTATGTTTGTACACCAAATAACAGGTGAAGCATTGAATTTTCTATACCGCCCTTTTTGGTGACCAAAATGACCAAAATACCTCGAAAAAAACCAAGGTTGATACACACTGCTACACAGGATAGCCTATCCTCATAAGGCCTGTGTGAAACAAAAATCCCCCCTTCACCCCCCCCCCCCCCCCATCAGTTGTGACATCGGAAATGGTGACACACCAATGGCGGCGATTACCAAAAACGAGGCCGATAAGCACTCCTGTAGGTGTGTATCATCCTTGGAAAAAAAAGGGCTTCATTTTCCAACTCCATGTTTCTACTCCTCTGAAAAACGCGAACAAAAATTGTATTTGCAAACTATAGTATAACATACCCGGGTTCGTTCAGCAAGATTAAACGGTGTGAATTTTGATTACCTTTTAAACAACAAATCTTCTGAAAAACGAAATGAAAACCAAATAGGACCTACTTTGTGGAAACTTACTCAATTTTACTTACTGGACATGCGCCCAACATAGCAAATATTAGGGAAATTCAAGGGAGGTTGTGATACGTTAAAGAAACGAAAAATTTGTGAAACGTCTACTTTATTATTAAAGTAAATCGTTCCGTTCTCGACCTAGAATTCTCGAGAGGAAAGAGAATGGTAGAGAAACCAACGATCGAACATTCCTCAAAAATCAAAACATCTGTGTCATTTTAATAATAATTGTGAGTCAATGATTCAATAATTTAAGTCACTAAAAGTTTAAATTAGCTACCGCCCCTGTTCTTATGCTAAAATTTCAATTACACACACTATATTCAATCAACACTACCTATATTCAATACTGAAGAGTTTTTTTATTAGTTAGCCAGTTTCCCAGCAGGTACTGAGGCTCCATACGGGAAGCTACTCAGCTATAGTTGTTTTTGAGCCAATATCTCTAGATTGATTATTTCAATTTGTATGCTAGGATATTGGCTCGTCAGGGTAGGAAAATGTTAGTAAATTTAAGAAGGCCCTAATGTACGCTCTTAATCCAAAAATTAAAATCCCAGCACAAAAAGACAGCACATAATTTTTCTAGGTTTTAATTTACTCTTTATTTGTGTTGTTTACAGCATGAAACGATTTTTGTTAAATACATGAACAATGCACATGTTATAAAAAAATGTTATAAACAAACAAAAAAAACATAAAAATGAAAAAAATTATACTTAAAATAATTGACCTCAAAAACAAAATAACAATTATTCAACTGACCTGTGGATGCTCCTTTTGACACACAAACTAATTAGAAATTGAATTGAACAATCAGTTTATTACAAAACAAAAATAAAAATTGGATATTGAACAATGGCGAACAAACGTCTTAAGGGACCAGCTCAGAGTCCCGCTTCTTCTCTAGTCTAGTCGCTCATTTCTTCTGTTTCCCGTTCGCAGTACCGTTCCTTGTGGCTCGAACGTGGTCATCCCTAAGCTTGACGGCGCATACATGGTTGCAAGATTTACTTTTATTCAGTAAACGTTTTTTTTTTAAGCTTAAGATTCGAAGAAACAATATTTTAAATAGGTGGTTTTCCTCAAAACTAATCCTGGAAATTGCAGTTAAAATTGTATATAAATTCGTCCTTTAGTCCGCTCATAAAGTCTATAGACTATTTCGAGTGCGTGATCCGAGATTTTGAACGCTGATTGACTAGATTTTGGGGCCTCACTAGGGCCTTGGGTTAATCGTTCAAATTGAGCGCTGTTCGCCCAAGTCGACCCCATAATTTTGGCCAATCTCTGTCTAAAATCTCAGATCACGCACTCGAAAAAGTCTATAGACTTTATGAACGGACTTTATTAAATAAGGAATTTTATCAGTTTGATAACGAAAGATACTACCCTGTTCGAAACGTCGAAATTATTGGAAATAGGGGAAATGCACGTCCAAAATAATTTATTTGAATGACCTTGTGTCCACTCAAACTCACTTTGTAAACATTGACTTTATAAAGATGCAGTAATCAGTTATAGTTTCAATAGAATCGTTAACAACAAATCTCGTATTTAAAACTGATCTTAAACTAAGACATAAACAAATAGGTTCGTCGAATTTGACCAGGCTCTCGATGCAATTTAATAACAGCATTTTCTATTCGTGGTTTGGTTTAAATTTAAACAATTTCGGTTTAGTTTTAGTTTCAGTAGGTAAATAACTCAATTAGAGGGAAGATGTTGAACCTGAGGCCATATATCGCAAAGGCCAATAGGAAAACCAAACTTAGAATCACTATCCGTAACTAATCCGAATTACGACGAGGTCAGAATAAATAAGGAAGACTTTAAAAGAATTACTTTTTCGGGTTGTTAACAATTTAAATTGCCTCGCAACTGATGGGAGTTAAACGATAAAAAGTAAGAAAACATGGTGAAAAAAGCATGTAAAATAAAACTTCTTCGATAGAATTAATTTCGTTTATTGTCATATTGGAGGGTAAACTAACTTAACCACCACCTGTACGCGACTAATCAAGGCGATTTAAGCAATCTGGCTCGCGGCCTTTAATCACGGTCGGATTTAGTGTGTCGTGTATTGCTTCGCACTTTCCTATATACAATAATTTTAGATACAAGTATAAGTATCATCTAAATTGAAAAACATAGGACGATCTGGACGGGGTTGAAAAATCCCTGTCCGAGCTTTAAGTGATTTGTGATCCCCGCTTGTAGAAGATGATCTTCTTTATGGGTTAACAGACTGAGCTCTTCCCCAAGGCTTATGAACAGCATTTGAAAAGGACTACGACGTGCTCAAGTTAATATTCGAGGTCGGGGATTGTCTGGTCCTTCGGTTTTTTATCAAATGCATAATGCATGTATCGAGAGAATCAAATGAAACAAGCGAATGGACATCCTGAGGTTAGTGAGGTTACTCTCTTTTGATTGACTCGTTTATATGTTAAATATGACATTGCCACAAAAAAAATTGCAAAACATACTTTTATTAGTATTTTCTTTTGCCTTATTCAAAAACTCCGTTCAAATCTCGTTATATATTTGTCATAATTTGTGGTTATTCTCTTGTCTCATAAATCTGCATTCCTAAATTGGGCCAGAAGTTTTAACAAGAACGCGTCCATTGTAAGTAAAACAAAAAGGCATTAATGCAGAAAAACGGGAACGAAATTAAAATAAACGAACCCTATAATGATGCTGTCTCATCCGAATAACGAAAATGTGAGCCGGAATATATTTTCTCCCTTTGCCTCCTCCATCATATCTCATTTATCCCTGTTGGTTTTTACCTTAACAAAAGAAATATTCCATTAAGTGGCATTTTATCATAACGCTTTTGGGCGCCTGGAGAGGACATTTATTTCCACAGCAGTGTGGTTCGGTTTTTTATACTTGAAATACATGTTATGATAAATGACAGAAGCATATTTATTTTCACTTGGTTCTTTTCACAGCGATTCGTTGGCCAAACTATGCGAATTAAGAAACGTTGATCTGTCAGCTTGCGAGGCCAGATTACAAGACAAGGAAAATAATTCCGAATTATTGGTTCTCTTTTCACAAGACACCTACGCTCTTGTAGGAAGACATATCCGAATTTTAGGTGAGAACTACATTTTTTTTTTTTAGAACAGTTAATATAGTCATTTTTATTTTTTAGCAAAAGATGCAGGCAATAAAAAACTACAGGGATCACTCTATGTCAATCACAGTAGAAAACAGTCTGGTGTAAGTATTATATTTATTAGCATATTATTAATTATGAAAGTTCGCAAATAAGTGAAACTACTCTCTCAAACTTGAATAACATTGTCACAACTTTATCCTGTCGTGACAGGGTACGCAGCGTAGGGTCAGGAGGATAGAGATTCGCTTGGTATTTAGTTTAGTAAAGGTTATATTAATTAGTAATTACCAAAGGATGACCCTATGATACATAGTGCCTCTTCTATAGGGGCATAGGTAAGCTTCCTAAAAAACACAAAGCTACGTTAGGAGCGATTGGCTAAAGTGGAGGGCCGTCCAGAGGGGCTTTCTCAAAAGAGGTAATTGCACTGGATCACACGAAGACTGAAGAAACTCAGAGGAGCTTTCCCAAAAGATGTAATTGCGCTGATTCAAGTCTACCTATCCGTGTGTTGCCGACCACTATTTTTATTCGTTTATCGCTGATTCGCAAATCAATAAGTTGGTCAATCATATATACTGTGTCATATTTTCCTAAGTAGCTTTGCTTGTTGACATTTGCTCTCCCTCTGAAAAGCATTGGACCCCAATGCTACAGAAGAGCCACCATCACAAATTCAATAATAAAAAATACTTAAATCTAAGAACATCATATAACGAGATTTATATATTTAAAAGGGGAGGGGAATGGGTGCATCATTATTCAGTCAACAACAACGATGAATTCAGAAAAAAAAAGTTCGTTGCTTCAGCCGTGGGGTTTTTTTGGGATGGATCCGGTTCTGTGTATCCTTTTTCACCATGTGGGTTGGATAAGGTTCCGCTCACCGTTGCATCAATGGCCATTTGGTGTTCAGGTCCCGGTTGCATGGAGGTAAGTAACACCTATTTGGCTCACGTTCGCAAATTTGAATGTAACACCCGATATCGCAACGGAGAGTTACTTTATCGGGTGTTACTTACCCTGGAATTCACATAATGATTAGAAGTAATGCTTTTATTAGATAGTATAGATATAATATTAGTTTTTTATGTTTCAAACTTTCTGTATTTTATTAATTCGCTCGTTAATTCGTCTAGACTTAGATAAAAATTCAATTATTCCCTTCAATTATTTATTTACTTATTTTATAAGTTAAAAAATTCACAACTTTGTGTTTTTATACACCAAATAGAAATGAAGAGTCCTCTGAATAATGTATTCCGGCAAGCTGACAACATTGCCTGTTATACTGCTGGCTGCTGTGGCATCGGTGTCGTAACGCTGCTGTGTGGCTGTTGTGTATTTAAACCACTAATCTCAAAAATGAATGGATAAACAATCGTACGGCTTGATTAGCTAAAACTGTGCGAAAATTTGTGTCAATATCCTACGAACAGTTGTGCAACGGAACAGCCTAACACCTGCGCAGTATCTTATCTTTCGAACAACTGTTTTAATTTTGAAATATCCTTCATTTTCATTGGTTATATTTTACGCACGCACAGTACATGTATCTACTGCGCACGCTCACAGCTATCCCAGTTGTTTACATTATGAACTCGCAGAATTTCCTAACCATCGTCAACTTCCAAGTTTCCGTTCTGGGTGCCTACACATAGATATTTTGTTTTATTTAAATTAACTCTCAGGCCCCATTCTTGATACTCTTCTATCAGCTCTCTAATCATATATTGCATGTCCTCTTTGTAACTGGCCACTATGACCTGATCAGCTGCAAACTGAAGAGTAAACACACACTTATCATTTATCTCTATACCCATTCCATGGATCTCTGGATGTAATATACAGGGTGTCCCAGGGAAAACAGTCCACACCGATTTACTGGATTTGGGATGAGAATCTGGAAAAACGCTCGGACATATCGATTTTTGATTTGAGGGGGAACTATTTTTCAGTTTTTTTCATCACCGTAGCTTCAACCCCGTAGCTAAGGGGAGAACAACCCCCCAAATTTGAATAGAGCCTAGGGGTCGTGTCATATCTCTTTTTAAAGGTCTCATCAAGTTCTTTGTGGCCTTAGAATTTCTTCTCATTATCTTAATCCGTAATGAAATGACAGCCTGTCAAGATCTTGGAAATAGACTATTAGTTTTAGTGGGAGTGAAAGCGATACTTACCTCCCTTAATGAAAATACTTGAAATTGAAGTTTTTTATTATTATTATTAATGAGGGGTACACGAGAAATGTGAATTGTAGGTATTTTTACTCGTATTTTTATTAAGGGAGGTAAGAGGTAAGTACCACTTTACTCCTACTAAAACAATAGTCTTTTCCCAAGTTTTTGACAAGCTGTCATTTCGTTACGGATGAAAATAATAAGATGACATTCTAGGGCCATAAAGAACTCGATGAGACCTTTAGAAAGAGGTATGACACGACCCCTATCCCCTGTTCATATTGGGGGATTGTTCTTCCTCTAGCTAGGGGGTTGAAGCTACGGGGATGGAAAAAACTAAAAAATAATTCCCCCTCAAATCAAACATCGACGTGTCCGAGCGTTTTCCCAGATTCTCATCTCAAATCCAATAAATCGGGTTGGACTGTTTTCCCTGGGACACCCTGTATATTAATAAAATTCTTATTATTTTACAAAAAAAATAAATAAAATAGGTAATATACAGTGTGCTATTTGAAAATGTGAAACGTGGCTTTCTTTTTGGATTTTCGATGTTCGAAAGGCTCGAAGGACCATGACCTACTACTCTATAGCAGTCTCACTATAGATTACAGGCAAGGTGACTTGGCCGTAGTAGGTTTTTGTGAGTAAAACAACGGTAATATTTGACTACTAGTTGAATACTGATTTTATTAAGAAAAATATCACAATTTATATTAATCTAAGTCAAAATAATTTTAATAATAATTTGTCATAGTTTTGAGTCTCTAACCTTGTTACGACATGAACCTATTATGTTCCGGAATAGTGAAAGGTCGACACTTTTGGTGACCTGACACGCTTGACCGTGAATATTTTATTATATTATTTCTATTGAACAATTGTTTTTAAATAAGGAAATTCCAGGCAGTTAATTAATCTTTTTTTTCTTATGTGCATCAAATAGCCAAAATTATCAGAAATGCTTTTGGGCACATGGCAACTAGACAACAACTATACAAATAGTGAAAAAGATGTTCCCCTAAATTCAAATTAGTGTCTGAGGTTTTTCGAAAAATAGTCACTCTTTTATTGTTTTTATCTCCTAAATTACGAACGCACATTATAATTTATATTAATATAACAATATTAATTATATTTTGCACTTATATACCTACTCATGTTTTAATATTTCAATGCCCTAAAATAATTATTTACCTACAAGATGGTAATAAGCTTAATAACGAGGGTAAGTAAAACCCAATAAAGCGCACATCCATGCAACCACGGGTGTTACATTTAAAAAACCGAACCGTTGTCGAACGGATTACCGAATGCTAAACGGGATGTTACTTACCTCTATGCGTCCCGGTTCCATGTCCTCAAATTCTTTCTCATGGCGGTTTGGTCAGCTAGGTCATGGGTACCCACGGTCTAAGTGTCCATCGCCTCTGGTTTGTTATGCCCCTTATTTATTGATACAGACATGAGCCCCTACTCAGTTCAGTGCTATCGCAAGGTACTGGTTGAGCTTTCTGTTCAAGTTGTTGTGTATCCATTGACTTGGTCCGTCCCTGGCTGGTCCTTGCATATGTTTGTTCACATGATAAAATAACGATATGAGTCGCACCAAATGGAACCAAATCTGGTAATCCTTTTCTTACTATTTACTCCTAAACCATATTTTCTCTGCTATTACTTAACCAATGTCTGCCCAGCGATTCTAAGACTACGGGGCAACGGTGAAAGGAATGCAGTTGTAAAAAAATGGCTTTCAATTATTAGTATCGCAACTCGTTTACGAAAATCGACAAGGACCAAACCACCGCCACTGTATATTTCAATATAAATCGATATTTCAAGATGGGAGGATAAAATTACGGGAGCCCTGGCCAATAGTGAGACGTAAGGTGACGTAAGCCCATTGACGACCGCATGGTTTTCCGTGGCAACGGCGATCGTGCGAAAACTCCCCCAATAAGGTTCATCCAGGCCGGATGCTTGTCAAATTGGCAAAAGCTGATTTTATCTTTAGAAAATGCTTATTTTTTACAATGGACAAAATTGAAGAAATAAGTTATTGAAATAAGAATAGATCTAACAACCACCTTAAAATATTTAGCTTTTCATTGTTATCTATATTTTGTCATTAAAAAATGGATTTTCAAATAAACCCCTCATGCCCAGTATTTTCGCTTTTTTATGATAAATTAAACATGGCAACATCGCACATTTACGTCCGAATTCCTTGCGTAGTCTCGGAACCGCAGGCCAGACATTATCTTATAGCAAACTTATATCTAGGCTAGCCTCTGTCTGCTTTATTTTTTCTTGTTGTACACATATTTTTTCCTTCTGATAGCTATGCGATCGCTGTAGTCCGTTATCGTTTCTGTTTATCGGGATCATACTAATACTTCGGACTCCACTGCTACTTATGCTCCTCAATGTTCTCCTAACTTGTTTCTTCATCACTATCGGATTCTTCTTCCAACGCACTGTTTTCCATATTTATCCCATTTTCTGAATCTAAATTGACTCCTTCTTTAGGAGCGCCTTCTGTCCACGGGTCGTAGTAAGGCACCATCCTACTTACGTGGACCGTATCTGTATTCCTCTTTTTGCTTCTAATTTTTTCTACCTCGTAATTCACTTCTCCCATTTTCTTAATAACTTTATATGGTCCAAACCATCTCAAAAGCAGCTTCTCAGTGCGTCCAACCTTTCTTATTAGGATAAATACTTTCACTTTTTCTCCTATTTCAAAATTTAATTCTCTGTGTCTCTCGTCGAATCGTTCTTTATTTTTTCCTTTCCTCTTATTTATATTTTCTACCAATACGTTAGCTCTTATCAAGAGTGCCTTTTCCCTGATCTGGAGTGAGTCTCTTCCTTCCTCCGCGTTCATAAGAGTTGCCTCCGCAGGTAGTATGGGTTCTCTT